AAAATAATATTCTAATTAAAGTTGTATATCATTTTAAAGCTGTTTCGATGAAGTTTTTAGATCAACTACACTCCGTTCACAATTCTTGCGCGTTCTTTTTTAAAAAAGAGTTTTTTACCAAAACATCTGGCAAATATTCCCTGTTGACACGTTACATTTTGAATTATTTTTCGTCTTTAAACGCTCATAACTCAAACAATATATGACTATTATACTTATTTTTCGTCTTGATAAAGGTAGATAGAAGTTTTATTTCAAAGGATGAATTTTAGTAAGCGTCCCATATTGTGACGTCATAGAGTTTGAAAAATAGAATCTGTTGACAGCGACCTTTTCTGCTCATTTTTTTGTTCCTTCAACTTTTCAGGTGTACATTAAACAAAAAATACGAGATCAATTTTTAATAAATCATACATGATTATTTTGCTCCTAAACTCTAGTTTATTAATAAATAGTTGATTTTGTTCGCAAAAGTATGTGTTTTCTATTGTATGTGGAAAAGTGGAGGACGAAAGGTTTTCAAAATTCATCAAAATAGGGCTAATTTACGCCATTCGCCTATTTTCAAGCACAGCAACACGTATATTTATTTCACCTAAAATATCAATTGATTCGTATTTTATGATGCTCCTAGCCCATTAACAATATATAGATGATATCAGAGTTATTCGTCTAAAATGTTTTGAGATAGAGAGGTATATGTGGAGGACGAAAGGATTTTCATTTGTGTACATTTTTCTCAAAAACGTCACATTCTACCATGTTAAAAGCGAGGATCCTCTGGATTACGCCACAAAATGTGTAACAATGCGTGCGCGAGCTTTTTGCGATACATCAATGTAAGTGTTACACAACCTGTTGCTGCTGCCAGTATTGTATTGTGTTATTTGTATACTTGCATCTTTCATTAGGAAATAATAAATAAAGTAAAAAATAATAACCAGGAGTCATAGGGGAGTTTTCTATATTGATGTTGAACAGAAATAACTTAGAACGGAAATCCTATCGACAGAGGTTTTAAAATGTGCCACTATTGTTGACAGACAGACAGACAGACAGACAGACAGACATACAGACAGACGGACAAGTGGGTGATTACGATAGCTCACCACGTGAGGTAAAAATACTTTATCTTCTTTCAATCATGATACAATTCACAGAATTACAAGATCTCAAGGACATTATTTCTTAAAGGTTTTTGAATTTTGAAAAACTTACAGGAAATCCACTTGAGGCGTTAGTAAAAATGATATGCATGTAATTTGAGCTAAAAATGGATGCGTTACATTTGGTAAATCAGCTCTTGTTTTTAGATGACTTGTAAAATCCACGAACCGATAATTGTTTTGTAAATTTCGCCAGGAAAATATTGAGCGGTTAATCTTATTTTCAAATCAGACCTAGAATGTTAAACAAAGGTAAACTTATGGCTCGTCCAATTCACCTTCAAAACTCCACACAATTTTGAAAATATTAAAAGCGTCCGTTTAAGAAATCAAATTGTACATGTTCTATTGCACTAAATGTGAACTTTTAGTGGGATCTCGATTATTATTTCAAGAGTTATCCAAAGAACCATGCAAGGGTGAAGTGTTATGTCTTACAATGTAGTTGACGATGTCGGGGTATATTTAACTTTAAAATATTGGTTATCACATCGAACTTTTCTTGGAAAAATATTGTAACTGAAGTGCATATAAAAAATGAATCAGAATGATACATAAACACATGGTTATTAACTTTTTAAAGAGGTGGGGTTTACCACTTAAAGGTGACATTAGCCAGTATCTATCGAATGGCCCCCAGACCCGTGCACGTCATAAAAACAGGGTTATCAAAAATTCAGCAAGATTGAAAAGAAAAACAATATTATAATAAAGCATCATTTCGGAAATATATGAAACACTATATATGTTTAATACACACTTCTTAGAACATACCTTCTTTCTTTTCCGAGAACGCGCCATCATAGTAAACAAAATATTATATGTCCATAACTATACATCGCTATGAATTATACATTATCTACTATGATGCACTTAATTAAACGTAAATGCGATCCAGTTTGAATAATATCAGTTACTTAGACATCATTTTGTTATCAGAATTACCATGGGTCATTCTTGATTTTAGTTCCATGTCCATTTGGTCCTGCCAAGTCCTCTGTCTTTGATTTTTTCACAATTTTCATAATCTAAAAAACCCGCTCTTTGTTATCAAATGTGTCGTTTGGATTTTGTATCCTTTATCAAACTATTAACCATTTTTATTGTGTTCCCGATATATTTTCGATGATAGACCTTAGCAAATTTTTATTTTAAATTGATAGTTCATAGTTTTTGTTAACTTTGATATCAATTGCGTTTTTCACCAAACTTTCATTTGAATACTGTCTTGTATAATGTTCTCATTTCAAGCTTTTTATCTTTACTAGCTGCGATCACACGGGTATAGTCAACATACATGTATTAAAGGGGAGGTGGCAATTTTTTTTTATTACTGTTTCAATTATCTTTAACCAATGGGAGTGGGTTTCGTGGGATCTGTAATTAGTATTGCTTATAATGTATGTCTATATGCTCTCATTTCATCTACTTTTCGGAAATACATTACGTCATGGTTACTTAGCAACCCAATTTATTAAAAGGGAGGTATATTTTGGTTTTATAACTGTTTCTACTCTCTTTAATCAATGAGGGTAGATTTTGCGCGTGTTGTAATAAGTATTATTTGTAATATACATTTAATAATCATCTTTGCTATCGTTTTGCTATTTTCCGGAATTACAATACGTCATGGTTACCTAGCAACCTAGCCTAAGTAATTAAAGTTCGTGGAATATTATGATTAACAAACAGGTTTGCGACTATAGACACTTTACGAAGAGATATATTATCATGGTTGACATGGTTTGAAATTGAAATTGCAATTGTGATTAATTTGTAAATGCGACCTATGAGCCTCCAAAAAATGATATTACCAATTTCAACTTTAAAAGGTATACAGTGTACATTCATATCCATTTAATGCTAGCACAAATTGATGATGAACACACTTTCCTACATTGGACGTTCTGTCAGCTTAATTAATACAATTTATCTCGATAAATTATTTTGAAAACAAACTCTGATAATTCAATCGCAGTAATTACATGGTCAAAGACGATTCTCCTCTACTGGCAAAAGGCCACTTAGGTTATCGCAAACAATTTCAGACGATTATGTCTTGGATTATGACCATGAAGACAGGTATATCTTTTAGATCAATTCATGATCTCAAAGGAAAGTGTATACAATGATAATAAAGTAAATCAGTCTATGATATATTTAGCTTGCAATCAACCCATAGACATGCTTTTTCAAAGATGATTGCCCTCATTTTCACCAAAAAATGCAATCATTATTTTTACAATGTTTAATGCATTACTTTTCTTTATGTAGTTGAATTAATAAGTTCTTGAAAGGGAAACTGAATTCCTCTAAGATAAGTGTTCCCTTTATGATTTCTCCATTGAAACAACGCATGCTATCCATTGGTTTCAGCTCGTTTTGATCACCCAAATTCAGTATCTTTTGATTTCCTTTTAGGAAAATGAACATGTCTCAAAGCACATTCTAATTATACATTCAACATAACAACAAAAGGTTGCATTTTTGGTGAAAATTAGGTCAGCATATTTGTAAGAGTACGTTTATTGTTTCATTGCCCCTTTAATATCACTTAGCATTCTTTTGTTGGAGATAATGAATTGGTCTTAAAGATACATCTGTGTTCATAATCAGAATAATATTCATAATTCGGGTTATAATCGTCTGAAATTGTTTGCGATAACCCACGTGCTCCTTTCTTAAATATTGTAGGAACATAAAATAATTCGATTTTTTTGCGTACTCTACAAAACACTTCTACGAAACAGAAAATCATAAGTTATTGAATGATTTAAATGCAATACAGAATATATTTCGCTAGAGACATTCTGTATTACAACAACCATTACCGCTACTACAACAACAACTACGACAACACCACCACCAACTACAACACAAATTGTTGAGGTTGAGGGTACATTATGTATTTATGGATTTCTTGAAGAAGGAGACAAAGGTTCCTGTCAACTTCGACTTCGTCTCGTTCCAATACGGAATTTCTCGAGCAGAATATTTCCTGTATTGCACTTCAAATTATTAAATAACTTATATTACAGTATGTGTAGTTGACAACGAATATCAATAAAATTGTGAAAATAGTAGTGCAATTCATTCTATAGCGACGCAGTGTGCATTAAACCTGTCCTCGACCTATTTATTTTGGAATTGTCGTTTTTATACTGCGTCCCCAGCATTCAAGAAAAATAGTCACTTACTACATGTGAATGGAAAATTGAAAAGTACTTGTACCGTACATGCAAAATATACGGATACAGTGAGTGAATGTCAGTGTCTGCTGCTTAGATATGATACAATTGCTTGTTCATCAATATTATAAATTATAGAAATATCGCTTTCATGTTCGAGATAATCTGAAATTGAACTGAAAATGACGTCCAAATTGTAGACACCCTACTAAATCCTTTAACACAGTTGAACAAGAAGCATTCTCAAATACAATGCATTGATGAACAAAAGTTAATAATATTTAATTGTTCCCATCCTTATATCATTTTCAATTTTTAAACGTTTTTACTAATCACACGAATATGACATTTTCCAAGATGTCTTAGTAGTGTACAGTATTATGGGTCATTTAATGACATTAAAGGTATCACAGTTCCCAGGTAACTAGCATTAGATGACAGTCGATATATATGCAAAATGTTAAGGGAGGTTGTTTTCCAAACAGTATTTAAAAAAAAATATGTACCCCTTTTCAGTCACTAATTTTTCACGGTATATTCATATCCTATTGTAACATAAGATATGAGTTTCTCCTTTAAATATATTACTCATGTACGCCATTTATCTGTTACAATACTTACTTAAGAATTTATGGCACTGTTGGCACGCCTCTGTCAACTGTGTTGAATAATATACAGTCCATTGCTTGGATATACTCAAGCAATTTGCATATTAAGGTACTTTATGAGAAATGTTAACCATGTATTGCGTCATTAAAACAGAACTGCATACATTAAGTAAATAAGTAAGTAATTTATTTGTGAACTGATGTATTTATTCAAAATTCATATATCTGTCTAGTTAGTATAATTCAATTTCTTTCTGTTTAGAGCTTTACACTACTTGACAAAAGGAATATCAAAGGAACTGCTGGGGCCCATGTAAGTGATTTCAAATCTATTTTTATTTTGAATAAAATCGAGAACGTTATACTAACATTCCTACTATTGTCTATTGATTCCTGTGGAAAGCTCAAAACTTAGAAAAATTGCACCAAGCGCATTGGTTGGGGATATCTAATTTTGTACAGAACAGAGTACAGAAGGATGAAAAACTTTAACACAAAAGCTGCTTACACTCAAACAAAATAAACCACGCAATGCAATGGCTAGATCAATCATTTTGTAAAGAAAGCCAGTTCTGATATTTCTTTGTAATTTTTTTTAATTTCAGAAATTGAGTTTTCTGATGGTTGTGTGCCCATTTTATGTGTGTCAATGTAAGGATGAGTATTCATTTAATTTCAGGCTAAAAGTATAGGATGTTGTCATTGTACGTACTTCTTGGAATATGCCTGGCAACACGTGTTAGAGCTCAGGATGAGGGTTAGTGATTTCCAACGTCAATAAAAGAAATGCGATTGATCGAGTATTCTTTTATTTAGCACTACACATGGTAGACCAATCAATGTTAGTAATATTGCAAACATCATCTAGGTTGTGAAACGTACGTTATGCTCCGATTTTGGTGAATCGTCCAAAATTTAGATATAAATCGTCTGAGAATCGGAAATGATTTGAAAAAGAAGGATAAAAATCGACGTTTGGGTCTTCCAAAAAGCATTTTTGTGATTGTGATATTTTCATGAGACATGTTAGCTATTTTCATATGTACAAGGTTATGTGATATGTGAAGGAATCAAACAATAAAATGTGTATTACCCACGGAACACGCCAAATGTAAGAACCACTCGAAGCTTCAAACTGATAGTTTGGATGATTGAACATCACAAGAATGATAGAGAGGCAACACGACAGTTTTCTATAATACTATAATTGTACTAAACACAGGATATCAAAGTACCTATGGATATGACCAGAATATTGGTGCCATAGTCAAAGATAGGATGGATATTGAGTTGGGAAAAGAGGATGGTAATGGCAGATACTCCAAAGAAACTCTCTTAATACCTTAAAAAGTTTTTATGATGATTACAAAATGCCACACCCCTATTTGAAGCGTATTTAGGTCATATCTGAAAAGAATTGCTGCTGTTTACATGGCAAAGGGAGACTATTTACATGTATTTGGCGTAAAACTGAACTAACATTACGCCAATACGCATGTTGCTTAATGGAATATGTTTTACCACATACCACTATTTTAAACAATTCAAGCAAAACCATTTATATTTTTATTTATCTAACGTCATTCATGGATCAAGGTTCGATGCTATTGAACTTGAAGCACAGAGATTTACTCAATGAATATAAGAGTTTGAAAAGAACAATATTTCGTCAGGTGAGTCAAAAGAATATGAAGATAAGATCTAATATTGGAAGTGGATGAAAAATAATTACATTGTTTGCGAATGAAATGCGACAGGGAAGTACAGTTTTGCCAGGCAGCATGGGATGAAAGATCTATAAGACGAATAATGGTTCGTATAAAAAAGTGTTGTGCAGCTACCAGAGGAAAGTGATGACCTATAAACGAAGGCCAGAGATGAACAAATGTTCATACCTGTAATCTCGGTCCCCATTAACGCTTTGTATTCCATATATTATTTAGTTGAGGGGTGTGAGCTATTGGAACCTCAATATCAAGCGTAATATAGGTAACCGTCAATCGCCGTAACGTGTTGATTGCCGTGTATAGGGAGCCTTGTAAAAACAAAACTAGTTAAACTAAAACAAAATCTTGCCTGTACAGTTTTGTTTATGCGTTTTCAGGGATGTATATTATTGGTATAAAAATCTAGAACTGATTAGTTTTTGGGCATTTTGGATAAATGTTAAGGCGGTCATTTTTGAATTTCAGTCCTAATGTATATTGTCTGTAAAGTTTTGTCTACAAGATTTAGACCAAACCGTTTGTTGGATAAATCTGAAATTTCAAGATCTGATTTTTTGGTATTGAATATCTAGAACTGATACGTTTTTGGGCATTATGGGTAAATCCTAAGGCAACCATTTGGGATTTTCCGTCTTCAGACTATCTGTATTCCTGTATTGTATTTTAAGTTCAGTTGAATAACAAAATCTTGTCTGTGAAGTCATGTTTACACGTTTCAAGCATTTCCTTATGATGGATTGGTGGATGTTTCCTTCTATGAAAGTTTAGAAATGATTAGTTTTTAGCATTCTTGCTGGTGCCTTGGTAAATACTAGGGAGGCTTAGTTATGAAATTTAGAAATGATTAGTTTTTAGCATTCTTGCTGTTGCCTTGGTAAATATTAGGGAGGCTTAGTTATGAAAGTTTAGAAATGATTAGTTTTTTAGCATTCTTATTCTTGCTGGTGCCTTGGTAAATACTAGGGAGGCTTAGTTAGTATTCTGCGCACAGAGGCTAGTTATAAGACAGAGCCCTCTCTTAAGAAGTGGAGTCGAACGAATGCGAAGGGTACTTAGTTAGACGTTTATAAAGAACCTAAACGCGAACGTGTAATATTTCGACCCCCGGGATTACGCTCCCGCTCTCAATTTACTTTTCCAAGCACCTAATTGTAATTACAATTATTTTCCGCATGACCTTATACTCAATCGGCAACTGTACAAATGGAAGAACTAATGCGCACATTATACACGTCCAAGTACAACCTTTAAAAACATGTATTTTAACTTCTCTAGAACAAGGCGGCCATTTGATGTGCCGAAAACTGTCTATACTTTTCAAGCGTGTGATATTGTTCACCCTCGTGTCTTGTATACAATTATGTAAAAAAGCAAAGTGGCGCAGACTCCATAAAATATTCAAAATATGAGCAATGTGTACATGTATACCAGGAGACTCAAAACACCCTAAACATGTTATTCACGACGGTTATTAAATCACAAAAACAGTGTTTTTCTATTCACAACAATTAATCCTATTTGGATCCTTTATCAACTGTACTAAAACTGAGTTCAGTTTATAGAAGAAAACTGTTTTTGTGACTCAAAACACATCTAGTAAAATATGAAAATTAATGACTGATGTTCAGAAAACAGAATATCAAGAAACTTTTTATGTAAATTATGTATATATCATTCTATATACATCACATACATAATACATTATATCTATTATTATATTATTGACAAAAAGTGTGCTAAATATCATAGAATATTACAATCAGGAGTATTTTATGCAAGGGGTATGCGATTTATAGGCAATGTGATATTGAATGGGGATGGCAAGCCATGTGGTCTAGATGTGATGATTGTGCTGGACACATCCTGTAGTATAAGTCCCGAAGATGGAGAAATAATCCGGACTTTTATCATCGATATGGTGAACTCTTTTGATATCGGGCCAGATATTGATCAGACTCAGGTAAGGCGCAATACATTGTTACTTTAATTTGGGGGTCTTTGGGGAACGGCGTATCCAATCGTTCACGGAGCATTTTAACTAATTAGAATTCAACTCTCGTTCACCTAATACACATGCTTTTGTATAGGGCGACGCCGTTTCGATTTTATATGTCAGCTTAAAGTATTCAATGTGTGCCAGAAACCCTGCAACAGAACTCGAATGAATAAAATGTACGTTATTTATCTTGTTTTCAGATTGGCCAGGTGAACTTTAACGAAGGTACACAACATCAGTATTTCCTAAAAGACTCAATCGATTCAGCCACAGCCAAGTCCAACGCTGAAAATATGGATCTAAGCAACCTGGTAACACAAGAAGGCTGTAAAACACATACACACAAAGCTCTCGATGAAGTTCGAACCAAGTATTTTACCGAAGAGAATGGCGACAGACCAGAAGTAGCAAACACCGTTCTTGTCATCACTGATGGTGTAACGATTCCCAAGAAAAATGGGGCAAAAACGATCGCAAATGCTCAGGCATTAATAGCCGATGGGTTAGTTTAATTGATAGACATACGATTAAATGTTTTCAATTGTAAACTCATGACAAATTTGTGGTAAGGCTTCTAAAGCTAAATTAGTCCAATCTTGAACAAAGACCATCTTTGCAAGCTTTGACTTTGACTTGGAAAATTGGGAAAAGTTGGGAAAACAAAAATAAGAATTCACATTGTTTTTTAATTTTTCCCGAAAACAGTTTTAAACAATATTCCCGCCGATGAAGCCAAATAAACCTGGGTTTTTTAGTAAGTTATGAAACTATTCAATTTTCAAGAAACATTGGGTTACAAATAGTGTGCCACAAACGCCTTTACTGGTTATTATAAGTATACTGGTCATGAAGATTTCAGGTTTGCATCTATCATAATACCGAATTATTAGGGATTATTACCTTTATTATATCATTTTGATGAGTTGTTAAACATGTTATTGTTGTCGGGGTTCATATTTAATTTGAGATAATCAATTTCAGGGCTAACGTTTTCGTGGTAGGGGTTCTAAACGAGAAAAATCAGGACGCTGGTGAAACCGAGATGTTCCAGATGGTGTCGAATGTTAGAAATTTCTTCCGTGTGTCTGACGTCCAAGGCTTGAAAAATGTTATCTTGACTCTTGCGCAGTCATTTTGTATAGGTATAAAGATAGTTTTCATACGCTAGTGCTACCCATTGTTGCAATGGACAATGCTTCAATATCAAGCTAATCAAGTCAATTGGGGGTCATGGGGAATTTCCAGTAAATAAGAAACCATGTGACCACATGTATATCTCCATTTCTATTTTCACTGTGGTTACTGATTTCTACTTTTTTCAACATTTCATACATTTTATCCAAATTTTACTCACATATTTGGTACATATGGTGGATCAAACCCTGAAAGTATAAAATTGTATGGTTTCCATTATCAAGATTCAGTAGATAATTTATGTACACATTTGATACAATCTCAAATGGTACACAACAGTTGATCCCTTAGGTGGTGCGTTCTGATTTTTCCCTAATGTGTCATTACATGAACAGACGGGGACCTGTTTTTGAGCTAAATACTTGCTATTTGTTCCATTCTTGTGTTGTTTCATATTTTGTTTATTCACCAATTTCTTTTTGAGATTGAAGAGGACACCAGAAAGAAGTAGATGGCTAAATACCTGCCTGCAATGTACAATTCAAAATAGTCACAATAAAGTTTTAGTAGATGACTAGTGTTGGTAGTTCACAGCTATTATCGCATGAAGAATGTTCTTTACCATTCAACAGAGCCCACAACTACCACTGAGACCCCATCGACGACGACGATGACGTCAACAACGACTACCACCACAACAACTACCACGACGACACCTCCACCAACAACTACTACTACGACACCTCCACCAACAACTACTACTACGACACCTCCACCAACAACTACTACTACGACACCTCCACCAACACAAATAGTTGAAGTTGAAGGTACATTGTGTGTAAATGGATTTCTTGAAGAAGGAGACAAAGGTTCCTGTCAGATATTCATGAATGGATGTCCAAAAAGAAACCGACGATGCTGTGGATGTGACCTCTCTTTCTGGAACCAAAGAGCTCCTAAGGTCAGTCAGAATGTGAACATAAGTTTTCTGTTGCCTTTTTTGTTTTCAAAACTTCAATAATTTTCTCATTTGATCAAACACCTCAATTCCTTTTTGAGATGAAATATTTAGAAATGTGAGGGAAACACGTGATGATCTCTTGGTCACTTCGTATAAGTATTCATTACATAGCCAATATTTCTATGCAACAAGATGACCGCCTGCCTTCCGGTAACGTATTTTAAAATATATTTTCGTTTTCTACATTTTACCCATTTCTAAAACGATTTTTCAAATCATATACATGCAGTTAGCACATGATTTCTTGGTTCAAAGTTGTAATTAGTATATACAGCATCATCACTGGTTTTTGTAGCTTCCTGGTCATCTCAACCCCAAGTCAACTCAACCCAGTAAAACTCAACCCCAAGTCAAGTCAACCCCAAGTCAAGTCAACCCCAGTAAAACTCAACCCCAAGTCAACTCAACCCTGTAAAACTCAACCCCAGTAAAACTCAACCCCTATATTTCTATATATCGATAAACTTATAAGAAAGTTTATTTCATAAAAATAATTCTGATGATTCAGTTTGTGATTTTCATTCTTAGACCACTGCCTTTTTAGCTAGTTAATAATGAGTTTATCTCCAAAATGTCAACATGATACTAATAGGATTAAAATATGGGTCATTTTATTAATCTTGCTAATACGTTTGTTTTGTTGTAATCCCTCTGAGGTTGACACTCGTGATTATTTGGCAAACTGGAACATGACCATCCCTTTCCAGGGGCATAGCCAGCTTTCAGTCAGGAGGAATCGCCCCAAAAAATCACGTTTTCAGTCAAGGGTGCCGATCGTGGCATAAGCGAGCCAAAAAAGCTATGTTTTGACAAAAAATGAAGCAACTTCCTTCAAAATTGGTGGGAGGGTGTGTACGCAACCCTCCTGGCTACGTCTATGCTTTCAGTCTATTAATTACTAAATGTTAATGATTTTGTTAAAGCATGTTCATATGAATAATAAAAAGTTTTATTCCATAGTTAGCATGATATTCATAGGATAACATGTGAAAATAAAAACGGTATTTTTGTAATCAGTGGTAAAATATGATATTTTTGACAAATTTTCACTTAACCATAACATACGATTTTTTAGCCATGACATACGACGTCGTATGCGATGGTTTATGGATTTTTGCTACTTCAGACTCAAAACGAGGCTAAGTGTCAACATCGCCGGATTGTTTGGAAATTCGAATTAAATAACTTAATTTCCGACGATTCTGATGATGACTTTAACTATGGAATAAAAAGAACATTCTATGATTTACTCGTGATATGATTTTAATCCACTCATGGATATTGATATTCGTGGATAAAAATCATATCACTCATAAATCATAGGATATCCTCTATATATTACATTGTTAATTATTTCTAAATTATCTAAAATTTGATTTCAAAAGATGTCTAAATTAAATAATAGTGACAACTTGATGAATTATCCTTGAGCTTAACCGTTTTTATTATTGGAATACTTTTACAACTTTCTATTCAAAGTATCATGCAAAATGCTAGATTTTCAGAAATGAATGAATTTAATTATTCATCATAAAAAAATTAAATTAGACATTGCACAAATGAATAGGGTTGAGTTTTACTGGGGTTGAGTTTTACAGGGTTGAGTTGACTTGGGGTTGAGTTTTACTGGGGTTGATTTGACTTGGGGTTGAGTTGGACTGGGTTGAGATGACTTGGGGTTGAGATGACCTGTCACCTTTTTGTAGCAGGGACATCGCTCTGTGTTCTTCAGATCTTCAGAGCGGTGTCTATGTTACAAAACCGATCAATTTAAACTGTGAATTTTTCGCTTCTTGATGATACTAAATGAATATTAATAACATTTTTTGCAAACTAGAGATGATGCACTAACTGCACACATTCGGAGAAAATACGATTTTTACGGAAATCTGGAGAGAGGCCATCTTGTTAAATATTTACGTTGAGACCAAGTGACTAGTATGATTTTTGAAAAGATATAGCTCCTTACAATTTACACTCTCTATTCTTTGCTGCCCCTGTAAGAATAATTCATGGGTTTGTTTTAACTGTATATTTTAGCCGCATGTCACATTTTGTTTTATCAGGTTCCACAATTCCCGGGGATTGTCACCATTATACAGAAAGAATGTCTCTGTGAAAAGTGCCTTAGACTAGCATGTATTCCTCCAGAGTTTCGCGCGCTATGGCTACAGGAACGACAAGAAGCTGGCCTCCCAACTGATTGAAATCGAGCATATTTTGATATAAATTGTCATCAATATTCGATCATGTAATAAATAATCTAAAAATAAAATGTAAATGATAATGAAACAATTACTTGAGTAAGTACATCCTTTTATCGACATCAATGTAATTACTAAGAATTTAAAATATATTGTTTTCAATCTGAGTAACCCATTTGAATATTGAAATCGGTTATTAACGTTTGTAGCAAAGAGGCATATATGTCATGTTAAGAAAAACAAACATGAATATTGAATTGATAATGGACGATGAATTTTAAGATTTAACATACATAACAAGTTCAATTATCAATAACTTTTGATTTATTTCACGCTTGTAACATGTTTAAGTATGTTATGTTATGCCTGGCTACCCAGGCATTTAACATGATCAAGATATCCATCACAATATCTGTATCCTTGTGAATAAAGTCTCTACAACATTGAAACATGCATTAAAATATGTCAAAATAAGCAGTCTTGCAACAGGGTGTTACGACATGCAATAAGAATCTTGAATTAATTGAATACCATTCACTGCTTCATTGTAACCACTGATAGAGTGTCTAAGATTTAACCATGACCTCTGTTGATGTGGCTAAGTTTAAATCGGCACCACTGTTAATATGACCTTATTTTAATTGTCGGCTAAATTTAATTTTCATCTTAGATTTCACCGTCACCAGTGTTTATTTTGCTAAGGTTAAATCGTCTTCATCGCTGTTATGATTTGATCGCTATAACTGGTAATGAGGTTAGGATTAAATCGGCACAACTGTTAACGTCTCTAAGGTTTAAAGGGTGACGCATATCGTTTTCAGAATCATTATAAACGGATTACTTTATCTCCAAGACAATTTCAATTAACTGGATTTTACAAAATTCCCCTTATTTTTTAAAAAATGGACTGATCCAGTTGACTCGCAAAGAGCCGCCATATTGTTTTTATACGGGTAGCTTATAGGAACCCTTTAACCGTCACCACTGTTGATGTTGCAAAGGTAAAATCGTCATCACAGTTAATATGGGTAAGGTTTAAGTGTAACCACTGTTAATATGGCTTAATATGGGTAAGGTTCGAGTGTTATCGCTGTTAATATGGCTACAATTCAATCGTCACCACTGTTAATGCGTCTAAAGTTTACCTGTCACTACTGATAAATGTATAATGTTTGATCATCACCACCGAATTACTTGTACTTGTCTAAGTATTAATAACGTTGCTAAATCTGATCCTCGCCATTGTTAATATGGTTGAAGTTTAATCGTCATTGCTGTCAATATGGCGAAGATTTGATCGTCACCACTGTTAACTCGGCTAATATTTAATCACCACCTAATTACGTGTAGGTTACTTACGTGGCTAAATCTAATCGCCGCGACTGTAAATACTGCTGAAGGTTCATCGTCATCACTGTTAATGTAGCCAAGATTTGGTCGGCATCACTGTTATCGTAGTTAGGATTCAATCACCTCCACGGTTCGTGTGACTAACCCTACTATCACACCAAACTAGTTCTCACTACGTTCTCGAAAACGGGCTTCAACTGTGTACGAACGGACTGGACCTACTAAGAACCGTCTGGGATCTATTTACAAACTTCATCGAACGTACTCGAACGGGTAGGTCCTCTAGAACTTAGACGATGCTCAAAATGTTCTCGTGGTCGTCACGTTCTACAATTAGAACGAGTGACAACGTACTAACGACGAGGTGGACGTACTACGAACGGAACCGTCGTACTTCAATCCTACTAGGGACGTTTTAACAACGAGTTGAACTGTCTGAGGACGTGTTGAGAACGAGGTAGAACTAATTGCAAACGGGTTTAAACTGATTAAGAACGTATTTAACACTGCTTATGAACGAGTTAGCAAAAATATAGCTATCACACCAAACAAGTTGCCACTGCGTTCTTCAAAACTGGTTTGAAACTGTGTGCGAACGGAATGAACGTAGCTGCAACTTTCTAAGGTCTATTTACGATCTTTATGAACGTTCTCAGACGGGAATGTGATTTTAGAATTTTGAATTGATTCAAAATTCGATGGCGACCATACCGTTCTGTAATCAGGTCATGTTGACCTTCTAGACTAAGGGACGCGTTCTACGACGTTGCACACCGACCTGAACGAACTTCGAACGAGATGGACGTATTGAAGACTGTTTAAGAACGAAGAAGCTAATTATTTCAGACATATTTCCCGACCACAGTCAGATTGAGCCCGTTTTACGACGTTTTCGTAGGACTGGCAAGGACGGGTAAGAACTAGTTTGGTGTGATAGGGGGGTAAGGTTTAATCGTCACCCGGGAATCGTCACAAATGTTAACGCGGCTAAGGCTGAACCGCCACCACAGTTAATGTGACTAATGTTAAAGGTGCAACAATTAGTGCAGGGGGGCCATTCAACGATCATCGACCAGAGTCAAGATATACAGGGTGGGCCAAAAAAACGCCACTTTTTCAAAATGCTACAACTTTTTTAATTTTTGATATTAGATCATAATTTGCATACCAAATGTAACTTGAGGTTGTTTTCTAGCCATTTATCATGAATTATACACTTTTATTTCAATAAAATATGTCACCAGCATCTCACTTAAACATGTGGTGTGCCATGAGAAATAAGCATAATTTGCAAAATGTTCCTGAACAGATACGGACTGATGATCGCCAAGCTAATAACCCTGATGCAAACCCCAGTGAGTATAGGGTATGGGAAGGTCTCCAGGAGATTGTATTAAGGCACCCAATCTAGAAAATTGCTCAACTAAAGCTGGCAATTAAGACAGGTTGAAAAAAACTTAGCTAACATTTCATTGATACTGCAATATCAGCAAGGCAACTAAAACTAAAATATATCATCAATTAGGGTGGCAGACCAAATGATCTCCTCTTTTAGATCAAATATAATCCACGTAGAAGGACCTGTTACATTACATTTATTATTGCTAAGAACCCTTGGCACTATATAACTGCAAAATTTGGGGTATGTAGGTTGGAAAATAAAAAAGTTGTAGTGTCTTGAAAAAAATGTGGCGTTTCTGGCCCACCCTGTATTTAAGTTTGGACATTTCATCAAGACTAACATATATTTTCATTATCAGCAAAGAAACCCCCTGGATGAACATTATTTCAGCTGATATTCCTCTTGAAACGTGGCGAATCTTAAAAATCTATAAGCGGGACTCCCTTTATAGAAGCTTTGAACTGAATTTACACTTCTTAATGCTGAACTTGACAGTTTATCCATACATTTGAAGAAAATAGGTATGTCAAAGAAGATGTTAAGCCAAATATTGACCTGATAACTCAGAAATTTTTTTTTTCGAATATTCTCTCTACAGTCCTTGTTGCCCCTTTAAGTTGGATCGTCATTACTGTTGACTTGGCTAGGGAATCGCCACAACTGTTAATATGACTAAGGTTTATTCGCCACAACTGTTAATATGATTAGGGTTTAATCGCCACAACTGTTAATGTTACTAAGGTTTAATCGTCGCCACTGCTCATGTTTATAAGGTTTATAAATCGTAACCATTGTTACTATTCACTATTGTTGCTAATATTTAAATGTACCGTTATGCAGGGTTTAGCCGTCACACCATCGATAACTTAGGTACGGTTTCTTTATCACCTGTTTAGGTTTGATTTTGAAAATTGAATTGATAACACAGTATGATTCATTGTAACCATTTTGGAGGTACGATTTACTGTCTCCATCGTTCATGCATATTAAGACTAGGGGCACGTTTTACAGCTTAAAAAGCTGACACAACAAAGTCTTTTGCATACAAATATTCCATCCACATCATTCTCAAGCCAATCTTTCCCGTGCATTAGCAACTTGCCAAAGTGTTTGGGATTCAGTTCTCGTAAATACGAGATAATGAGTATAGATGTCACACATAAGATCCACTTATAACAATTCTAAGATTCGACTTTCAGAAAAGTCATACACTATAAGCTACACTGCATGTATTACGACTGTATACTCCTATCAAGTTTAGAATAAGCGTATGATTAACCTCGCTTGCACACGAACCTGTGTTACGGAATATTCAAGAACCTATGTTACGGAGTATTCATGAACCTGTGTTACGGAACATTCAAGAACCTGTGTTAGGGGTAGTTATTAAAACCTATTACTGCGGTTCTTTCTATTTAGAATTCCTGGGACTGGTTGACAAATTTGTCACCATTTTCCAAATGAGGGCACCGAATATATAGCTGAGTAGCTGCATCATGTGATTTAACATGACTGTAGGTTGACACCAATGCCATTGTAGCTAGCCATGCTCAAAAACACCCCATTGTGGTACAACCAATCTTTAACAAAATATATATGGAGGATTGATTCTTATGTTTTCTTCACGTATCATACGATCATTTATCAATGGTTGTATTTATATTGTTGTTGTTGTGAGATCAAAACGATCAATCAACTAGAAATGACCTATAGTTTACTTTTGATGAATGTTGTTAATATAGATAATATAGAATGTCAGTTGTTTAGTTTGATGATCGGTGTCGTTTCGATATAAATCATCGGAGAAGTTAAGCTCATCGTGTGCTTTGAAGCTATTGAATATTCTGATTAAATAGTTTTATGAAAGTATAAACAAGCAGAAATAACAAAATATCCATCACATTCTGTAATTCACCATTTTATAAATATTGCAGTGTACGTTTATACACCTCAGTTGATGATCATTAAACATGTTTTTTATATTAAACTTAAAGTCTGATCTGATGGAAATTTTGTAATTCGATACTGTTACTACATGATTAGTATATACACTGTTACACTTGTAAAGACCGATGACAATCAAATGCTAATTTTACAAAATGTCTACAAAAAACTATGAGACTGGAGATAATCAATCCAGAGATACATATTAACCAATAGATGTCTCTCTGGTCAAATGCTTGTTGTAAATCAGTTATTTTTGTAGCTATTCTGCGCTGTCCTTTTCATGATATCTAAACAATTTCCTAAGATTCTTTCAAAGGCGTCTTTGTCCAGGAACGCAGCTTTGACCTTGCCGACTGCAATGACATTTGCAGATCTTGGCTTGTCCTCGATAAGTGCCAATTCACCGATATATTTTCCCCGACCTTGTCGAGCAACTTCTGTTTCCGTCCCGTTTTTGCTGATTGTAATTCGCACAATGCCGTCTTCCATGAAGTACATACCGTCAGCCTCGTCCCCCTCTTTCATAAGGGTGTCGCCGTCTGAGAAAGATTTTGACACTAAAGCATCCGCAAGGCTCATTCTCTCGTAGTCGTTTAGGTTTTTTAACAAAGGGACATTCTCAATTAATCCTTCGTACATTTTTCGCTTTTTGAACGCACTCTTTACAACAATTCGTTGGAAAGATTTCCTGTCCATAGCCCATAGGACTCCATCAGACGTTGCGTTGACAGTGGCCGATCGGGGCATGTTGTACAATAAGGCTAGCTCACCGAAACTCCCCTTACCATCAAACGTATGCACCTTTTTATCATTGCCCTCAACTTTGACGAAAACATCGTATGTTCCTTCGGAGATGACATAAAAATTATCACCGTCATCCCCTTGTCGAATTATAGAGTCCCCTGGTTTAACATTTTTCTGAAACATAGCGTCGATTACATCAGCTATTTGTTCAGAGTCTAATGTTTTGAATATAAGAATAGATCTACAGACATCTTGTAAAGTTTTACGTTCTGAATCACTTTTCGGGTAGACAACTTTTTCATCGTCGCCTTCGTCAGCCTCTGGGTCATAACGCTCAGCAGAAACAGAATGTCGTCTGCCGAATGAATTTTTATCTGTTTTTCGCTTTAATTTTTCAGGGTCAGGCTCACCAGCATCCTCGTCATCAGATACAATAATATACATTGGTATTGACTTTGGTCTGCGCTGATCGCGAGTCTTAGTGAAATATTCCACGGCAAAGTCATGTATGTCACCAGGTCTCTCCCTTAAGACGGCCACCGTGAAGTCTCGCAGCATATCTCCGAGACCGTCTGGGATTTCAAAGTTCATGTTGGAGAGATTTGGGGCTCCCGACTCCAGCCTGATGATCGTAGTACGATGCTAAACTCTGCAAATAAATGTATATACCAGGTTATTTAAAAGGATGATAGAAAGGATTGCACAAAATCCATGTAATTCATTGCAGGCATTTTAAAAGTCATTTCCACAACATAAACTATCATGAAAAATGTCATTTGTAGGTTTGCCATACTTCATACAGTGCATTATTATAGGCTAAGGGTACATTCCAATCTTCATTAATTTTATTAACCTGTAAGATTGATACGTGACAAATTGCTATGTAACCTTTAATTTTCCTTTTAGATAAGATCAAAGACGTGGTAGTACATTTATATAGATTGGTATAGACGTTATAGCAGGTCATGACACCCGCTTAAAGAACCAGAATGCCAAATTGGCATATTATACGTCTTGTTCAATAATTCTAACTGTAACATTTCTAAGTGTCCTATATTTATGGTAACCGCAACACCTAGAATAATTGATATAGGCATTTTCTAGAAAACATATATGCACATGCCATAAGCCAAACACGTAAAATCAGAATAGATACACCCTGAGTAAGGAAACCGTTCGTATTGTGATGATAAACTTCCCATGGTCGGGATTTATATTTCTTGGTTAAAACAATTTTCTGATTACCATTTTTGCAGATGAAGAATAACCTTAAATGTGAAGTTTAATAGGGAAATTGCATTAAAGAGTATCGAAACTTACGGAGGGTTGTTTAAACGATAATTCTGTCTCTGAAACTCTTCTATAAATACGGGACATAAAAGCAACCAGGCAGATCATATTATAATCGTTGATGTCACTATTGAGCTATAAAATGCGTTTGAAGCATCTACAGATGAGACCGCTATATACATGATGCAAATGAAATGGATATGTGTTCTGTTGCGATCGTGTGATGATACTATCAACGCTATCAGTATTGCAATGGATTTCCATAGTACCCAGGAGTACGAATGGATAAATGGTGATAATATGAATAATTAATTTTTTGAGTGAAGCAATTTGGAATTCAATTTGCTTTATACGTTGACTAAAAATTATTGTTGCCGCTGGTATCTTGACCTTATTTGTTCCTCATGATCATGACTTATATTTCAAGAAAAGCTATGTTAACGTATATCATAAATAATAGGGAGTTTAAGCTTTCATGTTTTTCACAACCTAAACGTGAACAGAAAATATTTAAGCGGTGCATTTGAATGGGCAGTTTGTCACACGTATAGGTTGGCGTTTCGATTTTATATGCAAGCTTAAACTCCCTAATATGTAAGCAGAAATGTGTAGATCTAGGCTAAAGTTTGCAGATGCATTTGGCTTCAAATACCAATTACAATATTGCAAAATGAGCACTAAATCCACCATTCGAGGCAGAGTGTCGATTTATGGACAATGAGTCTGACAGCAATCAAAATATGACAATTTTTCTTTTTTAAAGAATTCCACAAAATAAATTAACTGTATGCTATATCCATTAACATGTACATGCATGTATTTCTAGAACTCTTACAGAGGTTTGAAACTTTTAGAATTCTTGGGATTTATATAGTTCCAGGTGTTACTGCTAGGGGCGTAGCGAATGCTGCGTATACTATGTACTACTATGATGACTATGTAAAAATATCATTTATAGCATACGTAGCGTTCATTCTTCATACGATCACTCGTCTGGTATGACAGTATTGTTATTTAAAGGACACCACATTTCATGAATGGTAATCACGAAATGTCATAGAGACCTTTCTCCCCTTTAGAGACCCTGTAAAGTCTAATTAATTTTATACTGAACGAAGTCATATTCCATAGTGGGAAATCTGGGAGAAGTCGATACCTCAATCATGCACAATGCGTCAACTGTACTACAGAAAAAGTAATAGATATCAATACGATGCCTTCGTTTGTTGGATAAATCAATCTAAGTACTTGTTTTGTGTTCGTTTTCTATTGTGTGTTTATTTGCCGTTGTGTGTTTATTTACCGCCATGTGTTTGTTTGCCATCATGTGTTTCTCTGTTGTGCGTTTGTTCGATCCTTAATTGGTTGTTTGTTTATTCATACATCGATTTACCGTACTAAATACACAATACATGATATCTTTCTTGAATTCGGCAACCATGGCTCTTTGAAATTAGAGTAAGACTAAAAATCAATCAATTTCATCCGAGTGAAGTTCTGCATAATTGGAGCATACTCCAATGCCCAAAGATGCATTTCAATAAAGAGAGCACTTTGTCACACGTCAATATATTGGATCCAGTGGGTTGCTGACAAACAGTTCCTATGAATATACTTGTACTTGTTCCTGACAACAGGATCGATTGGTGATATTGGCAATCATAGTAACAACAAGGGAATTGTGTACATATTAAGCAAATACTCAAGTACCGAAAACATGTGGTTACTGCTGAAATTGTCCCTCTCAGCATAACTACTCCACTGTCTACTATTCGGATGTACTGTGTATGTCAGTAGTTGTTGCCAAAGGGGACGTAACATTTATAATTTGTAACACATGTTTTATTGACATTTCTTTCCTCAAGGGCAAATGATGTTTTTAATCCTTTGTTTGACTTTTGGATTTAACCTGTTTTCTCTAATGATACCAATAATTCTAGGTGCATATATAACCAGGTAGTATTGTTATATTGTAAAATTGAATATAACAACGTTGCATACCCTGAGCGCAAAGTTTAGTTCTAAACTTTTTGTAGACGAAGTTAACTAAGTATCAAAGTCAAAATGATACAAAGGATAGAGGTTTCATTATATGGATATGTGTTCATTTGTAAATAAAAAAACGTATACCAGCTAGCAGCAGAGATATAGCGTTAAGGTGATATAGCAAAGCATCTCATTTGAGTTATTACTCGCTATCAATATACAAAACAGGTAACCAGATGGACTTTTGCTTATTTGACGGCATAACCTGTTTGATGAGCTATTATGCGAAAACAGTGCTGAATCAAGGGAAAGATCAATACCCGGTGATTCCAGCGGGAAGTGGCGTTTCGTTCAGTGGATGAGCTGCGCGCGCACGCATAAAAGTGATTATCAATATTATTTAGGGGAGGGATATTAAAGCTTATTTTCGTCATAGGCGCGACCCAGGGCTGTTGTCTTAAGGACATTTCGTTGAAAATTAGCCATTCAGCTGATAATTTGTAAGAGTTTGCGATCTTATAATGTATAACTGTTATTCAGACACATATTTTGACACGATTCTGTTGGAATTAAGCTTTGAACCGAGAGATATTCACGATTGATATGCACATTTTTGATTGTGCCATTGCTTTTCCATTGCACAATCCATGTATTGATAGAAGTAACAATAATGCAGATTGTTTTACCTTCAATACATGGCGGATTCACTACATATCGGTCTATTAAACCATTTTGTGCCCTAAATAGCTCCATCACGGCCTCTGGAGCCTGGGTGTGTTTGTCTCATTATGTGTATGCGTGTGAATCGATGGGGCTGGTAGGGCCACCAATCCCCTGGCCCCGCCCATCCTTTATTCTGCTTCCCACTTATTATAATTTATGATGTAACATTTAGACTTCGCTGGAAAATAATAGGAATATTTTTCTTGCCAATCAATCGTGAATCACAATCAAAATTTCAGAAAGGACCAATCAGGCAATCGTCCAAAATCCAAATCAAGTTATAACATTATATGATATTCAGCAAGAAGTCCGGTAGAAATATAGAATATTTAAACATCAAAGCTGAAAGTTAAAAGCTAATCTGTCAATTTTCTGTCTGCAAAAGAACGTTTACATTTGACACAATAAAAGACCGAGGCTTTGAAATCTAGGATTCCCCAGGAAAATATGACGTCATACTAATTAGCATAAGGATTTCCCTAGTGGTCTGGGTCGAGCATCGTCCGAAAACACAAACAGATAAATACATGCTAATTTCTAAGGAGATGGGAAGTGTATGACGTGTTTATCGATTTTGTTTAACGATTTAATCATTTATCAAATTGTTTAAGTGGATAAAGTGGTCACACTTGCTTCAATTCATAGCGTAATCGACGGATAGAAACTGCACCGGATTCCCGATATTCTACCCCGTATTATGTAGGCTATAACCACAGTGACCTGCAGATGGCGCTATCACAAACAAGTACTGCACGAACCGATAAATTCCCGGGTATTGTAACGCCCTTGGCTGAATCGCAACATGTGTTGTGGTTATTCTGACCAGGTATACTCTCGGGTGTTTCTTTTAGCGTGTTTTAATACTTTTACACCTTTTGTTGCTTACGTATTTTATCCAACAATTTACTTGACCTATATCATCTTGGATTACAAAATTATGAAAATCATTCCCATTTCGATGACTGACAAGCTCTGGATGGCTCGATGAGATACATATTATATGTTATTGAATGATTTGAAGTGCAATACAGGATATATTCTGCTCAAGAAATTCTGTATTAGAACGAGACGAAGTCGAATGCCAATACAAGATATCGAGAGCGAAATATATCCTGTATTCAAAGCATCTTTATCGAATGATCTTAGGCCAATACATTTTACCTAGGAGATAATCCCTAAGAAATATTCTATATTGTCTGTATTCTTGTTTCTGAGATTGTTCCCTCCGTGCCAATATTTTATGTATTGCTCCGGGGATCAAAGGGGACAATCTCAGTAGCAATCAGAGGGCTTTATTTTACAGATTTTACAATAAATACACATATCAACTCCCAAAGTAATATGATGTACACTTACAAGGGTTAAAATAATCTACATTTTGTAAGACTTTCACTGCGTCTGCAATTTTAACTGAAGAAAAATGTTCAGATTTCTCAAATTCTATTTTGATTCTCCATTTATAAGTCATGTGATCTATATTCAGAATGAGGTTTTGACCTCTCAATGTTAAAACCAGTAGAAGTGAGTAGCTCCCATAATTCTTTCATATTCTATCGTATTCGGGGATTCCCCATTATATGATGTCCAATCAAATTGCAGGATGTGATCACGTGTACGTGCTCTCTCAGTGCCGCGCATGTGCAAAGTAAA